TGAGAATGGGATCAGAGTCAAAAAAGTCAAAAAGACTCAAAAAACGACTAAGTTATTATTATTAATTAGCTTAGTTCAATAAATTAAAAACTAAGAACTTGACATACATTTTATTTATTCAGGAAAGGTATTATTTAAGCATTAATATAATTAACTAAACTTTTCAATTTCCTTCTTTTTCCTTAAATGTGAATTTTGTTCATATTGGCTTTTGGAAAAATCTCCAAACGGCATATAAATTAAATATAAATATAATTAACTAGTTTTATTATTTCTCAAGTTTTTTATTTATTAATAACAGAATATTAAATTAAATTTCAGTTTGGGAATACTTTGAGAAATCCCAGTTGGGACCAGGTTGGGTTGACCCAAACTTTGCCCAAGTACAATGAAAAACAAAATTTTTTTTGAGCTTTTCACAGTTGCGCTTTTTTGTATATTTGTTCAGCATATTATTTAAATAATAATTTAATTAACTTAATTCTTTTATTTCTTCATTTTTCAAACTTTGGGAAGCCAAGTTGGAACCAGATTGGCGCCCAGTCTCATTTTGGGCGACTTTGGGAAGATTTCCACAGGATATTAATGATTTAATATTATTAATACAATTTTAAATACTTAACCACAACTGCACTGACATTTATTTTATAATCCAAATTAATACCAGGATTAATCTCAAAAGTATAATTCTTGGTTAATCAATTTTATTAACCAGGTTAATTTTCCTCTAATCAATGTGAAAATTTCATAAACGTTATTAACCAGTAACCGTATATGATCCAGTTTGCTCAGTGGATTGCACAAAAAATCTATTAATAAAGATAGACTAACAGGTGTTTCACATGTAACACGCAGTATTCTTTATCTACATTATTTGAATAACCTTGTGTATATTAAATATATAAGGCTCATTGTCCAAAACTTAAATTTTATTAGTTTTAAAGAGTAGACCAAATATAATAGTAGTGTCAAATATTGGTTAGTGTATTAAAAAAAACTTTTTTATACATATGTCACTGACTCTAACACTTAAACATAATTCGTCAACATTCATAATAATAAACATATATAGGGTCAGTTGGGGTAAATGGGGACAAGAGGTTTTGGAGTTTAATTTTCAGTTTTTAAATTAAGTTCAACGTCAATATTTTAATCTCAGATCACCTGCAAGAGGTTTTGAGTATTGCCAAGCTTTCATCTTGACAATTGGCAGCAAGATAATAATTCAAGTCATCGTTCAATGCATAATAAAACTTGAAAATCAAAGTCAAACTGTTTCAGTATTTTGTCGAGCATTTCAAAGAAAACAGACTTCAAAATCATACCAAACTTTTTACTTATTCCTTATGACTCCTATAATAGAAATTCACTTGAATTTTTGATTTTTGTCAATTTGGTTAATAATAACAAGCTGTCCCCATTTACACTGAGTTTTCAAATTTTTGGGGTAAATGGGGACAGCTTGTTATTATTAACCAAATTGACAAAAATCAAAAATTCAAGTGAATTTCTGTTATGGGAGTCATAAGGAATAAGAAAAAAATTTGGTATAATTTTTAAGTCTGTTTTTTTTCAAATTGCGAGACAAAATACTGAAATAAAAAAAAATAAAAAAAATTTTAATTGATTCAACTATTATATGAGGCATTTTATATGAGAATGAAGGGGTCATGTCTCGGATTTTTCTCAAAATTCGGTAAATTGTAGTGATAGTGGTGCTAAATTATTTAGAAAAAGACTGAAAAATACAATGCCGAGTAGGTAGACAGCCCCCTCCAACTTGTGTCGTACGGTGCTGAAACCTCAATTTTCAATAATCATCTGTTAATAATTTAAATTTGTTAAAAATGTTATTTTCACTGGTTTTATTTAATACAGAATTAGATGATCTTCCAAATAAAAAAAGAATTGACGATTTATCTTCATTTCTTCAAATGTTATTAATTATTTAAATAAATTTTATTATTAATTATTAATTTAACACTCGTTTATTAGAAATAGTTCATATAAAGCTCGTTGGATGCGGATTTTGATAAGCATTCTAATGTTGTTTTTAAAATTACTTTAATTTTATTTGTTCGTAAAATATTTCATTTTTTATTAACTTTTGTTAGTTAATTAATTAATATCTCGAAAACAAAAAATAATGCCATCTCAAAAATTTAACCATCAATTTATTATGACTTAAACAATATTCATGATTTTTTTCGCATTTCTAAATGAGGGAGAACATGGTTAAAAGTTATAAACAAATTTTATTTTTTAAACAAATCCGCGAATATTACCTTTTAAAGGAAGAAACTTACGTAATTTTTGAAAAATAGCGATTTTGTCCCCATTTACTCCAACTGACCCTATATATATATGGGTGATTCTTCGCGTAACTCACGATTTGGTGTCTAAAAATTTAAAAATATTTTTTTATCGAAATGATAAATATCAATACATATTTTTGAAGATAAAGTGTCAAGAAATAAATATCCATGGTGGGCCGGAAACATTTTTTATAATTTTTTTAAACAAATTTAAAAAAAAATTCCCCAAGCAAAAATTTCTGTCAAAAGCCGATATTGACAACAGGCGCAATCATGCACCAATACTGGCTGGCCAGCAATTGGCTTACCAGTATTGGTTCAGTACTGACATGGATTAAATTCTGTATTGTGCAAATACTGCAAGCCAATACCGAATGCCAGTATCCAGAAAAATTATGAAAATTGACCTCCATGAAATTGGCGTTGACGCTCAGCGCCGAAAATTATTTTTCACAGGAACAAAAATGTACCTTAAAAATGTTTAAGGTATTATGTGAACCCAAAACTTTTTAAAAATGATTTGTTATTTTTGGTCCCGTGAAAAATAATTTTCGACGTGGAGCGTCGACGCCAACTTCATAGACGTGAAAATTGTGTATTTTTGTTGATTAGAAATTAAATTTACATACATATTTTTTTAAAATTATTTTTAAACTTCTTTTCGATTACGGTTATAAATTTTTGCTTGGGTCTTTGCTTTTTGAATTCTATAAAATAATTGAAATTTGATTTAAAATGTTTATGGGAATTTTTGGGGTAATTCACAAAAATATATATAGTGCGAACGACAGTTAAAAATTTTTATTTCGATAATTTACGGTAATTTTCGAGGTAATTTATGGAAATTTATGCGGCAATTTATAGAAATTTTGTCTAAAATTCATAAAAATATGTAAAGCATAAATCACAATTAAAAATTATAATTTTGGTAATTTATGGAACAATTAAAAATTTTATTTCAGTAATTTATGTAAATTTATGAGGTAATTTATGGAAAGTTTGGCTATTGTTAAAGACGGAAGTTAATTAACAAAAATAAAATAAATAATTTAAAGAGAAAATAATAAGGTTTAGAAATAATACTAATTTTTACTATTAATAATTCCGCTTATTGGTAAAGCGTAAATTGCTCTTCGCTAACAAAGTTAGAAAAAGTTAGTGGACTGACCCTTAGTATATTATCAATTCAATAAACCCGGATAGACGGTATTTTAGATAAAATGATCAAAAAGAGAGATATAATAAAGACATCAAAAAGGTGACTAAATAAATGAAAACGTAATTAGCACAACAAAAGAAATCCGTTTATTCATTCAACCCCCAAAAGTATACATTCAGTTCCCCAATTAATCTTTAATGAAATGATTACAATTTAAACAACTTTTACGTTAAGCTACTTGATTGAAAATCAAGTCTCACAAGAATAATTTATGTCAAGAAAAACAAAGAGATCAAATAAAAGAAATTTTAAATAATAAGAAAACAATTTGTGTGTTTGAAATGTATGTGATGTTTGTATTTCTTTTTAAGATTCTATATGTTTTAATTAATGCATGGATATTTAGAACAACTCACCAGAATAATGATAAATAAAATGTTATTATTGATGTAAAAAATTTATTGTTTAATATCCTTGACAAGTTTTAGATAACAGAGGCGCAGTGTATTTTCTATAGAAAAATACATAAGTTTGTATTTTTTCCACACGACACTGATTGTGAGAAAACTGGATAATACAATTAGGATAATAAAAAACAGTTAATACAGAGTATAATCTGCTTAATACTCTTTATAATCTATTAACCAGCTTTTATTATTCAAAAATAATACCAGTTATGGATAATAGATTGTAGATTTTAAATTCCAAAATCAATTAAATTTATTATTCGCGATTATTAACATAGTAACGATTCTATTTGTTTATTTTTTCAAGACATTCAGTGACAGTTCATAAATGAAAGTTTTTGAAAACAGTCTTTTGAATTCCTTTAATATTAAATTGAGATAATTTATAAAATTTTAAAAGCAAAAAAATTTAAATTTAAAAACTATAATTTCTAGTTAAATTACTATTTTTTAATAGCAAAAGAATTAGAATTTACAATACTCTGACGAAAAATACCTTTACGCATCCATAAAAGTTTTTTTTTTAAATTATTGTTGTAAATAATAATAAATTAATTAATAAGTTGATATTGATTGTAATTTTAATTTATTTAGTTAAGTACAATTTTTTATTTATATTTCAATTAATTATTATTTCTTAACTTTTGAAAATCATCCGTCATATTTGTCTTATGCAAAATAGTAATATAATTAATGATTTAATATTATTAATATAATTTTAAATACTTAACCACAACTGCACTGATATTTATTTTATAATCCAAATTAATACCAGGATTAAACTCAAAAGTAAAATTCTTGGTTAATCAATTTTATTAACCAGGTTAATTTTCCTCTAGTCAATGTGAAAATTTCATAAACGGTATTAACCAGTAACCGTATATGATCCAGTTTTCTCATTGAATTGAACAAAAAATCTTTCAATAAAGATAGACTAACAGGTGTTTCACGTGTAACACGCAGTATTCTTCATCTACATTATTTGAATAACCTTGTGGATATTAAATATATAAGGCTCATTTCCCAGAACTTAAATTTTATTAGTTTTAAAGAGTAGACCAAATATAATAGTAGTGTCAAATATTGGTTAGTGTATTAAAAAAAACTTTTTTATACATATGTCACTGACTTTAACACTTAAACATAATTCGTCAACATCCATAATAATAAACATATATATATTAGAATTAGAAAAAATCATTTTAAATTAAATTTCTGATAATACAAAATAATTATTAAACCTAACACGTTAATTTGTTTCAGGATCAACACAATGAACAACACATCAATCATTGTTGAGCAGTCACCGAACTTTCAATTTCTCTCCGTTTGTCACTACATTACTCTTCTTGGTACTTTTTTTCACAATACAAATTTTATAACATTTGAGCAGCAAAGTCAACCTGACATTGTTGTCAACACTTTAATTGAGTATCTAACGATTGCGAAGAATGAAACCCGCTCGAAACATTTCCTTTTAAGTACAATACTAAAAGGAACTGATCTCTATGGTGGTGAAAAAGGTGAAAAACTTGACAAGAAATATGTAAATGAAACCTTTAAGTACTTCATTAATGGGGTACTATTTCCCAACTATAGCAACATTAATTTGTATTTGGCTGAAATGATTCAGAATTCAGATAATTTAAATTACTCAATTTTTAAGAAAACCGTGTATAATCATCTCTTGCAACATCGCTTCAATTGGGAATACTGTTCGCAAAAAAATTACACATCAACACTACCTCAATTGACAATTAAAAAAATTTTCGACGAATACATTTGGTCAATTTTTCCCCAACCCGAAGAAGACATGAGCATAATGGACGTTAAATACATTTATTCAATGGTAGGTTTAAATATTCTCAGGTCCACGTCATCGGATGAACCAAATCTTTCGTTCTCGGAATATATTTTAATCTCGCGAGAACTTGATTTGCAGCATATCGATAATGAAACCTATAAAATTGTATTATCGTATTACTCAACTGCAGCTTTATTTTTTTATGCCTCTAAAGGCAAAGGAATAAATAAAATTAATTTAAATGATGAATTTTGGAGAGAAGCTTATAAAATTTTATTTACCGAAATTGATATCAAAATGAATGAAATTGTAAGTAAAGAAATTGAGAGTAGTTTGCCTTACAAACTGGAAAGGCAAATCAATAATACCAAAACTCGGACGATGATTGCCCGCGAAATACTTCTTCTTTATTGTTATCCTTCTGTCCATGGTGATTCGTCATTGTATCGTGTCTATATAGAAGGATATGTGTCCTTGTATAAAAGCACGTACCTTTTTCTACTAAAAACTTTTCTCCAGCAGAGTTGCAAAACAAGTCATTTTCCAAATTTAAAAAATGTATTTCTTAATCAATTTCCAAAACTAGAAAAACTGTACAAAGAAATGATAAGAAATTCAATTTCGAAAGTCTTAATCGACGGTGGTTTATTAGAAAAAATGAATCCAAATGTTACAGTGAATTCTGCAAAACTAATATTTCCCATGCCTTTTACCACAACACAGTGTGGTATCGACATAAAAATAAACGAAGACATACATGTAATATTTGCAATAATTGAAAACAAAAAAAAAGAATACTACGCTATTAGACAAGTGAAAGATGAATTGACATTAATTACAAGAAATGGAAATGAAAAAGAATTTCTTAGCGCTATTATCAATCCTAAATGTTTAAAACTGGTCAAATCAGAAAAAGAGTATTTTTTTGAACAGTCAACGTATAAATATAAAAATGAAAATTATAAATTTTTTGTTGAAAGAATTGCCAATATGAAGACAAAGGCGTTTATAACAAACATGACAGAAGTATATAATGAGGAAGTTCTTGATGAAAAAATTTCAAATATCGTGAAAATTTTTATCCCATTATACAATTGTATTGAAAGTTCAATAGCAGGTGACATAAGTGGAGCCACGTTAAGTTGTAGCCTGGATATTTTTAGTTTTCTTCCAGTTGTAGGTTTATTTGTATCAAGTTCATTTAAGATAGTCAACGGTGTCGGAGGTTCAATTGTTAAGAATATTTTTATGACAAACGCTGTTGCAAAGACAGCCGGAATTGTGACCAAAATGTCATTAACTGCAGCGTTAAAGGCAATTGCAAAAGATTCTGTTATTACAATCGCAAAACAAATTTTAACTAAAGAATTCTTTAAAGCTTTAACAATAGCCTCGCTTCGAACACTAGATCCTGGATTTGAATTACTTTACTCAATGGGCCGCTTTAGTTTTAAAATGTTAGGAAAACTGGTTAAAAATTTTGAATTAGTTTTTAAAACTATATCACAAGCTAAAAATTTTATATTATCACTAAAAACCTTATTAATGAACATGCAACGAAACATGCATCTGTTAACTGACATAAGGGGATTAGTACCAAAGGTTTTATTGAAGAAAAATAATTATGACATTGTTAGATACCATTATCCTGGTGGTTCACATTTATTTGGACCTGAGTGCATAAGATCACTTGACACGATTGCCGAATTAAGAACCGTGCAAGGAGCTTCATATAAGGTTGCAGTTGTTCCAGTAAAATCACCAGGTGAAATTTTTTACAAACAATTCGTTCCAGAAACTGGCGATATAATTGGACCCAACTTAAAAATGGATAACAATGATCTGCTTCGTCGAGTTGAATTTATGGTAGCGGATATGGTGGCTAATGGACCAGAAATGAAAATAACTCGTGATTATCATGTCTATCATAATACAATAGAATGGAAAATAAATCCTTCGAAGGAAAACTCGCCCGTAAATTTAAATCAACAACTCAGTACATTGGAAAATAATTCTCCACAACTTCCTAATCTCCACCCTCATCCACTTCCGGTATCAACCAATGTGCAGGAAGAAGTAGATTATATTAATTCGATGATTAAAGAAGGCGATATATCAAATAGTTTCGAATTCTCAACAGTACAAATGCAAAGATTACAAGAATTTTTGGATATTCCCGGAACGTCGGGACAAACTTTACAAATTAAACCAAAAGTAAATATTCCGGTATCAACCAATGTGCTGGAAGAAGTAGATTATATTAATTCAATGATTAAAGAAGGCGATATATCAAATAGTTTCGAATTCTCAACAGTACAAATGCAAAGATTGCAAGAATTTTTGGATAATATCCCCGGAACGTCGAGACAAACTTTACAAATTAAACCAAAAGTAAATATTGATAAAGTCGAAATAATACCAGAGGGTTACGATCATTCTTCACAATATGCAAAACAAATACTAGAAGGATTGAAAGAAAATCCAAATAAAAGAAAATTAGATACAATATCAGAAATTAAAGAAAATATTGCATCACATCAACATGAAACACAAGATTTATTGGATAATATCCCCGGAACGTCAAGACAAAATGTACAGAAAAATCCAAATTTAAGCAACGAAAAAGTAAATACAGTATCCGAAGGTTTAGAGAACACTTTACATCGGGAAAAAATACAAAAATTGGTGTTTAACACCGGGACTTCAATTAAACGTATTAAAGATTATTCAGTGTACTATAAAACGATGTTGAAAGTCGCAAAGTACAAAGAATATGTAAATTTATTAAAATTATGGAGAAACAATGGTTTAAAATTTATGATGACAAAAGAAAATGAAATATATAATTTCCGTCGTGCGTTAAATTCTCTGGCTCATATTCAATTGAATAATGGATATCAGTTAAGAATACCACGTAAACTGTATCACACTCAAATAATGGATGGAGTTGAAAATGTTGAGTTATTAAGTAATTTGAAAACAAAAGATTTTTTCTTTAATGACATTACTCTTTTGACAAATCAAAAATCAACGCCACTATTACAATTAAAGGATTCGGAAATACAAGTACAATACAGCTTAACAATTAATTCTCCATATGGAATTGTAGACTTAACTCATATTCATGAAGACTTTGTAAGTGACTACATAACATTTGGCGACGTAGTATTTACAGTAAAGGATAGTTCTTTTATTGAAAGTAACAAGATTTTGAATATCCAATTAGAGCAAAAAAGAATGTCATTTAGTCACTGGTCTCAATTTTTAGAGAATGATTTAAAAGAATTGTTGCAGATGGAAAAAAATGAAAAATTACCAAGAGTGAGTGAGATTGAAAAGCACGCCAGCATCTTATCCAACAGTCTTCCGCTGACTTCCTTGAAATCAGCAAGAAGAAATCTCGAAGGGTATATTTTAGGAATAAAACCAAATAAAAATGTTCCAACTTATAATGAATTGTCCAATGAAATATTAAGTGGTAAATTAACGCATTTATATGAGGATTGGAAAATTGGTTTTCATCCGTATATTCAGGACTTGTTACTTAAAAGTCATTTAGATAATATTTTTGTAGATAGTTCTGCAGAAATAAGAATTCAGAAGATATATGGTTTAACTTATTCTCAAGATATAAGTGAAGCTTTTTCTAAATATGATAAGATTAAAGATATTAGACAGCATCTTCGATTTGAGGATTATTATATTTTATATTCCTATACGAAGAGAAAGAGTTTATTAAATATTGATGGACAAAGACGAATGGATGCTGCAATTAATCGACTAGCGCTTAGACAAACTGATACAGACAGAGTAGACTTAATGTTTCATCGTGCTGAAATGATTAGTAAAGATTATGCTAGGCACCTTTTATCACTCGAGAAGAAAAAATTTATTACATTTGAAGAGAATATTATGTTATATCCAGATCGTGAAATGGAATTAGATAATTGTCTGAAGATGACGCGTACTTCAAATCAAATGCCATTAATAATGGATATTAGATTGAAAAATGCGGCTGGTCTTGCTGACGTTACTAGTGTCATTTCCGACGAAACTCATCCATTTTATGTCATGACATCGAGGTCTGAATTTATATTGGAGGATAATGTATATATTGACACAATTGAAGGTGTGGAAGTGCTGATTATGAAAATAGAGGATGGTGGAAGTCCATTGGAAAAAAGAATGGTTAATATCGCAAAGAATCTTCAGGAATTATTTTCTACAAATACCAAGTTTTACTCGGAATTTGGTAATTAGATTTTAGTAAAATTTCTTGTTTTAATAATAATAGACACAGTGTGCGTGTCACATAGATACCATTAATCAACGTATTGGTGCTGACCATTAATTAAACATGTTTTTGTTAAATTTAGTTATAAGTCGTTATTATATATGTATAATTGAAACATTTTATATTACTTCAAATTTAATTTTTTTTCTTATCAGTCTGTTTGCAATACTATTGAAGAAATATCTACTTCTTATCGAAATAGGAAAATTATCATCTCTGGTGATTTCAATTTAAGTAATTGGTTCCCTGGCGGATTCGATTTGCGTAATGTCTACTTAACTAAGCGGACTTTAGGTAGACATTAGGTAGACATGTAAAAAAACGTATAAAAAAGCTATTAATCGACTTATTATGATAAAAAAAAGTTGATAAAAGGGTAAATGAATGTTTATAGAGTAAATTCGTACAAAATTTGTAATTAATAAAGCAATAAATAATTAATAATGAATGGAAATGTGCGCGAGGTACCTGATCAGTTCAGCTGTACAATTATTTTCGTGCTATTTTCATGAAAAGAATATAAATTAACTGCAAAAACAATTGATATTTATAAAAAAGTGTAAAATTGATTTAATTTTATTGTTTGCAATACGAATTATTAAATAATAATTAAGTTTTTATCAAATGTGAATAGTGTTGTGAAAACCTGTGAAAACTAATGAGTTACTACATTACCGATCGCATATGATAATAAAAAGTTCTCGATGAGTGTAACAAAAAAGCTGCAATCATGTCCGTAATTTTGGACGAGAAACAATTATGAAATCAATAATTATTTGTATAACTTTATTCTGCATTTTAAAATTCACTTTTTATTTTCTTTCAAAGCAAAAGCTTGGAAGAAAACATGCTCGCACTGTATTGTAAAAACTGGTTGCGCCATCTCTCATATGCGATCGGTAATGTAGTAACTCATTAGTTTTCACTGGTTTTCACAACACTATTCACATTTGATAAAAACTTAATTATTATTTAATAATTCGTATTGCAAACAATAAAATTAAATCAATTTTACACTTTTTTATAAATATCAATTGTTTTTGCAGTTAATTTATATTCTTTTCATGAAAATAGCACGAAAATAATTGTACAGCTGAACTGATCAGGTACCTCGCGCACATTTCCATTCATTATTAATTATTTATTGCTTTATTAATTACAAATTTTGTACGAATTTACTCTATAAACATTCATTTACCCTTTTATCAACTTTTTTTATCATAATAAGTCGATTAATAGCTTTTTTATACGTTTTTTTACATGTCTACCTAATGTATACCTAAAGTCCGCTTAGTTAAGTAGACATTACGCAAATCGAATCCGCCAGGGTTGGTACATAAACTGAGTCGTGAGGCTAACTATAGTTTTATAGTGATCTTATTAAAAAAATCTTATAAAAGATTCACGTTATATGTTTTTTGATAGCAATAACAATAATGTATCCAACTAAATAAATAAATATTATATTTGTTATAAAAAAATCTGATTCTGATTACTTTAATGTTACGCTTCTATATGTCGAATATACATATGGAAGCATCTTATTTTAGTTGTGTGTCGCTTTTCAGGAAATTTTTTGTAACCATTTTTGTTTCATTTTCTTTTGAATTTTGCAAAAAATTAGATGTGAAGAATAATTAATTTTAAATATTTATTAATTAATCAATCCTATCCACACTTTCTCAAATCATTCGTTTCTTAAGGGTTCCATTAATCAAACTAAAAAGTTGTTTTTAATAACAAATAAATAAAAGTAATTGAATTTTCAAAGATTCAGATTTTTCAAATTAAGTGAACTATAAGTGATTTTTTATTGAAATTTTTGATGAAATTGAAAAGTTTTTAATTGAAAAACGCTTTCAAATAATTGAATTTTTGAAGAATATTATAACACATATTATACACACACATTACATTTTACACATAAAATTGTATTTAAATCAAATTGAAGTTGTCTGAACGCATAATAATTTACTATTGTATGCATCATTTGGGTTTACTTACACAATTAGTTCAGGCTCCCTATTAAATTTTGTGCCAAAAATCATACTAGACTTCTGACAACGGATTCATAAAAAGTGGGGAAAGGTAGATAACATGTATATGTTTTCAACTCGAGATTTTTTAAGCTGTGCTGTTAAAAAATATTATGAAAGCTCTGTTAAACAGTTTTTTAATTACCATTAATTCCCATGACATTTTAGAAGAAATAGTTCTGTATAAGAATTATAGAGCTTAAAAATACCTTAGAATGACAGGTCGCAAGTTAAAAACTATTAATTTGTTTAGTTGCAAATGAATTTAAACCATTAATATTGTCACTTTTATAATTGTTAATTAACTCTGAAAATAATAAATAAGTTATTGTAATACTTTGTGAAAGTATGTCATTTATGACCCTTAATAAGCATACAAAATTTGGCCCCAAAACAATAAGGAGTTTGTGCGAAATAACCAAATTTTACGGTACTGTTAAATTTTAAAGATAAAAAGTCATTTTTCTCAATTGACGTACTGATCGATATTTTTTAAAATTTTTAAAAAAACTACTTCTTTTAACAAAAATTTTAAGCCTATTCTGATAGTAGGCAATAAAAATTTTCAATATTTTCGCAATTCTTTAAAAATATCTACGATTTTTTTTTATACTTCGTAATTTTGTGTATTTTGATGCGCTATTTACGAAAATCATTGTTACAATACCTGAAAATTTGATTTTTATGCTGAAAACCATAAAATAGTACTATTTATGGTTATTTTCGTTTATTGGGTAAAATATGCAAAATTAAAAAAATAACTTTTAGACAAAAGTTGTAGATTATATTAACATAAATTTTTTATATTTTATGCATTTTTTGAAAATTTTGCATATTTTACCCAATAAGCGAAAAATACCATAAATTTTAGCACTTTTTTATGGTTTTTACCATAAAAGTCAAATTTTCGGCTATTTTCACAAAGAGTTTCATAATCAGGGCATGAAAATACATAAGTAGTATAAAAAAAATCGAAGACATTTTAAAAAATTCAAAATAGCAAAAAGTTTTAAAAATTCCAAAAATATTGAAAGAATTGTTTGTTTACGAATGGAATAGGCTTAAAATATTTTTAAATGAAAGTAGGGGAGACCAGGGCTGCAAGTGCCGATTTTGAGAAAACTAAATAAAATGCTAGTAAACTGAGAGCTTTTTGTTTTAATCTATAGTCTATTTATTATAAAATTTAATATAGTTTTTAAATCCATTATTTTTTATTGATAATTTTGAACAGTTTTTTTGTAAAAAATGATTTTGTGCAGCGAGGCAATACGGCACGTTGAACTCCGCGATGGAGAGAGTTGTGCCGACGCCGGGGTCGGTTGTGCCGTTCAGATTTTTTAGTTGTTTCAGTTGAAGCAAATGATTTTTCGCGTAAGAAATAAAATAATTATTGCCAATATATAATTTACTATTATTTACTAATTATTTGTTATATACTTTGAAAGGAACAATCTTAAGATTTCTACACTGAGAAAAATGATCTATTAAACATTAAACTTTTTTCCTTTTAAATCAAGTCCTTTAATGGTTAAGAGAATTAATTTTATTATAAAAGGAATCTTTTAAATTTAAAAATGTTGGTCGTTTGTTGACAACCCTGCTAAAAATAAAATCACAAAACGTCAAAAAATTAGTCAGGATCTCTGATGTTTTGAGACTGTTTTTGTTACGATTGCAGTCACAGAACACCACAATAAGTGAGGTTTAGTCAAAGAATCGTCAATAGTAGTCAGATTTTTTATGAGGGTCAGAGACCCTTTTTTTTGCCATACCATAAATCATTAAACCCTGTGACTATTTGTGATGTTAAATGACATTTCTTTCTATAAAATAGTTTTGAAGATTCCTGACTTACTTCTCATGAATTCTGACTACAAATATTTAAAAATTAAAAAAAATCAATATTTTATCATTAAAAAAATAAATTATCGTACAACATTTTTTTATCTTTACGTTACACATTCTTAATTATTATTTTTACAATTTATTATATTTATTTACTCCTATCGAAGAAAATCTCGCAAACGCAGGGAATCGAACTCACAACCTAACGAACGCAAACCGAATACCTAACCCCTGAGCTAAACTAACCTAACTGAGATCTTAAAAATAGAATACGGTTTTATGAAAATAGAAGATCTTATTACTTTTTTTCAATTTTATCAACATATTTTGTTGATAATTATTATTATTATTTTAAAAAAATTTTATAATTTTTAAAAATTAACAAGTAAAGTTAAAATAGGTATATTGTTATATTGATCAAAAAACATTTGTAGTCCAATTATCATATATTAATGTATTCAATTAATAAAATTTGCTTCAGCAAATATTTAATTAAACAAAAAATTCGTATGTAAATATTATTTGAATTCGAACTTAAAAGAATATGTGTAATATACAAATAAAATAGTCTAGAATAATAAGATACTGTCGGATTGTCTCAAGTAAACTCTGAGCGAATTTTATCAGGTTTTTCGCTCACGTTTTAGCACATTCATTACTATTATAATTAATTATAATGATAAGAATTAATTAATATGCATATATTAATTACTATATTATTAAAATTCAATTTAACATAATTCTTCCACAAATCAACTAAATAATTACTAATTTTAATTTCTCTTTTTAGCATACTGCACTATAATTAGATGTAATATTTGGTTCAAATCAAATTTATATTTAGTGAAAACTGGATCAAATTCGCTCAGAGATTGATTGAGCGATCAATTCATATATTCTATTTTACAAGAGACCAGAATGTTTTTGCTCATCTAGTTGTAAAAAAATAAACTTTTATGTGAAATAGCCAGCGATTTCTAATTTTTTTCAAATATATATATATATATATATATATATATATATATATATATATATAGAGTTAACACAATGGTAAGAATAAGTTTTCAACATATGTTGCTTTCTTATAACTAAATGTAAGGAAACTAGCTTACTGTAAAATAATAAATACAAATTTGAAGTAGGGACTTTAAAAGTATAGTCGTAGTCATTGACGCCTTCCCTTTTCTGTCCTTGTCTTACAAACGTGATTCCATATATATTATATGTACGTTAGAAAAGGACAAAAAGAAAAGTATAGGCCAGAAGGATCTTTTATGGTTTTATGGCTTTTCATTGCAAAATTAAAAATTGTTGCATTTGAAAAAAATGATTTTTAAATATTATATTCGTAATGTACATGTCAATACAATTACAACGATATAAAATTTTTTGCAAATATTTTTAAATTATTGAGAATTAATTTTAATTAATGGAGTATTTATT